CCTATAACGTTTGCCATTCTCTACGCTGCAAAATTCTAACTACGATGTGCTGAATTGAATATTGATGGATATCTCTCTAATCGCCAACTCACGGACCTAAAAAATTACTTCAAATATGAATCGGCCTTTGTAGCGAAAGCGAATCGGCGATCGGCGATCGGCTATCGGCTATCGGTCTTGGGCTTTTGTTGTGAAAGTGAGAACGGGAATCATAGAGTTCATCAGCCTTAGCTTATATAGATAAATTTCGCTTGATATAGCAACAACGTTGTAGGAATGCTGTTCATCGAAAGACGTGAAAATATGAAAATTGAATTATTTCGTAATGTTATGTTAATTAAGATTTACGTTTAACTTGCTGAACATAATTCATTGATCCATAAAATAGCAAAAAGAAGTTTTGTATAGTTTGCAGTTCATGTTCATTATCAAAACAGTTGGATGTGTTTTGCAAATTATATGGAGAACATGTCCAGGCAGCTTTATCCAGCTTTATAGAATTTGCTAATGTTATGGAGTTAAAAACAGAAAAACGATTTATAAATTTTATGCCAAAGAGGTCGAGAGTGAAAAAAAAAAAAAATTACATCGGTAAGTATTACGTGAAAGAAGGTACGAAGAATTTCCTGAATAACTTAAATGCATATTGGATGAATTTATTCGATCTTAGAACACAGGGCTACCTACCTTACCTCGAGACAGAATATTAGAAATTTTAACACGTCGCCAAAGTGAGATCTTGTGTCAATCTGAATAGCGTAGCAATGAAACTTTGTGGACAGGAGTGTATCCGCGAAGCGAAAGTAGTAGAAGAAAGGCCAGAGAACAACGTTACAAATACGAATCGTGGCCAAGCATATTTTCAATCAATACATAGGAATAATGCGGTTATTCACTACACAATTCCAAGCAAATAAATCGAATAAACCGTACGCGTGTGTTGTAAATAAAAAATTTAGAAAAATGCAGAAAAATGCAGATAGAGGAGCATACTCGTCATACACAGGGTATTCGTAATATGTAATTCGATTTTAATGAAATAATTTAAGAATACGACATACACACAATCTAAACTACGTTATTATTGCATATATACTTTGATTAATGCTAAAAATTTAATCAGAAAATCCTACAAGGACGGATGGACGGATCATAATTTATATATTTACATTTCGTATATATTCGTGATAGACACGTAAGTGTTTAATGAATTGTCGATATCATCCCGCAAGTCTATCAATAATATTTATTGATAGAAGTGTACTCGCAACAGCAATATGTCTAAGCATGTGTTCTATTGCTTTATGTAAATGATTTTATAACTGTTTACTGTTGTATGCACAAAAAGGATTACTTTAATTATATAATATTCTTTTATTCAGCTATATGAATAAGATAAACGAGAAGAGAAGAGAAGAGAAGAGAATATGAAGATCAACAGGCACATTTACGAATAATATTTAAGTAATTTTAATAATGATAAGACGAGAAATATCCTTTACATGGCAGGAATAATATAATATTAACATAAAAACGATGAGGCACCATTAAATTAAAAGCCAACACAGCAGAAAAAAATCGTTCATTTCGTATGCAAAACAGGTTGCAAGCGGTTTTTCCACTTTTTTCCGGTTTTCTACTCTTTCGGTTCATTTAAATATTAATAAAGTAGAATTTAATGAAAGCGAAAAATTCCCACGCTTTCAAAAACATACAAAAAACAAAAGTCGTAGAGTTAAACGGCGGGGTTGTCCGCGTTTTTGGTTTTTGTTTTTCTCTTCTTCTTCTTCTTCTTCTTATTTTTTTCGCTTTTTTCTTCTTCTTCTTTTTTTTTTTTTTACATATTTTGTTCATGGTTAAACATGCAATGAACGTTGTGTGGCGGTGGTAACATTTGCCTTTGGGGCGCATAAATAACTTAGCTAGAGGGTGTGATGTGTCGCATGGTGCAATGCAGCAGTGTGTTAAGTTTTGCGGTTAATATTTGACCCTGTTTTAGTATGAAATTTGTTATTGCCGCTGTTGTCGTAATTGTTGTAGAGTATGTTTTCTCTTTACACTTCCTTTTTTCCTTCATTTTTTCTTTGTTTGTTTTTTTCTTTTTTTTATTGTTGTTGTTGTTGTTTTTAAACTTCTTTTTGTTTTGAACTTCTTGTGGTTGGTTAATTAATACAAATGTAATTATTGTAGTCGTAGATGTTGTTGTTGTTATTGTTGTGTTATTGTTGCTGTTGCTTTTTTCTTCAGAGTAAACTAAAGAAGAAAATCCAACAAATTTATGTCTGCAGTTAACAAATGCTGCAGCAAATAATCAATTCGTAAATGAGAGAACGGGAAAAGAACAAAGGGTGAGCAGAGAAAGCATGGAAGCGAGGTTAAGGTGGTGAAAAAGAAGGACCCAGGGAGGGAAGATGAAAGAGAGAGAGAGAGAGAGAGAGAGAGAGTGGGAAAGTGTGTAAAGGAAGTGCCAATGTTTGTAGCATAAAGTCAGTCACTCAGTCAGTCAGTAAACTGTAACACGGTGACAGACTGAATTGTTAAGAACACGCAAATGTGTTTAACAACATGCCATTGAATATGTATATGTATATATGTATATGTATATATAGTGTGTTTCGTGTAAAGAACTGCAAAAGCAACTCTAAGACACATCACAGGTGGTGTAAATAATGATGCAGCAAAACTAATCTATATATATGTCGATATATCTATATATATGTATATATACATATATAATGCAAATATATATATATACATATATATATGTGTGTGTGTGTGTGTGTGTGTGTGTGTGTGTGTGCATGCATATATAATGTTAATGCTGAAAAATCACAAAACCATAAAACAAAACAATAGATTATATAGGCTAAGGTCTTCAAAATTCAATCGTGACCTGAACAAAGAGCTGCCTTTAAGCACCGCGCTTGTACGGCCAACGTATAACGCTCGATACTCTCTATTTACATTTCTAAGAATGTTACAAAGATAAATAAATAGTGAATAGTGATTGAAAACCCGTTATGGATGAATAACTTACGGTATTTGATTAATGGCATCGGTAAATATCTGCGGAATTTAATTCAATTGAAGTAAATATTACGCACATACGACGCGTGAAAGGCTTACATTTTTTAGTTGTGTTCTTTCGAGCACATCCTTTCATTTCCATAAACTTTATGGCTTGTTATACTTTTTATTGTCGCAATTTTTTATTAGACTTTATTTACGTTCGCTCTGTATACGCTTAAATTCTCTTTGTTTCATAATCGTCGTGAGAGACGACCACTTTTCCATCGGTATGCAATACGCTTCGAAAAAGAAAATGAGAACCTAAAAAGGTAGAAATGGAATATTATGTCTATTATGGAGGAATATTTTGTGTATTATGGAGGAAATGGAAATCTGTGAAACAGCTTTTCGTTATAATAAACGCAGTAAGTGAAAGTTATGTGCTTATATTTATTGATCATTTTCAACGAGCAAATTGGCTGCATGATCATTGACGAGAATCCATATCGAAAGAGAAAATGAAAGAGTAGTCAATACACAAACCAAGCACTTCGATAAAGCCCAGTCATATTTATCAAAATTGATTAGTTAACTAGCAGTGTGTGCTTAAGATGATGGCATTTGATGATATTAATACAACATTTCAACTGAAGAGGCTGCACTTTATATGAAGATCATAACCGTGAACGTGCTAACTGACCTTTTGTAGAATCACATTAATAGGGACTTTGCAATTATAGCGAACTGTATCCTTAGTGTAATAATTAATGCAGTGAAAACTCATTTAAATAGATTGGGCTTCTAATGGGAATAATGTCCACCAATGCCAAAGGAGTAGAAGACACATTCTGAAAAATCATATGAGAGCATCATCAGCAAAGATATTACAACAGTAAAGGTGATCTTAATACCAAGCCAAGAGAAATTTGCTAAGATATGCCAGATACATGTAGCATCTCTCTCAAGTCTTTTTAATAAATAAAATTAAACACAAAAATTTTACATTTAAATTCTTGTCGATGCAAAAATAACTCAAAAATTTATTTTCTTTTCTTTTAAAATCAAGTAAACATAAATGAAAAAAAGAAACAGAGAGAGAGATAAAGAGAGTAAGCGAGAGAGTGTGAGAGTGAAAAAAATCGGGAGAGTGAGAGAAAGATAGATAGCGAGAGATTGTGTAAAGGGAGAAGAGAGAATGGAAGAAGGTGTGTGAGAGAGAGGAATAGAGGAGGAGGAAGAGGAGCAAGCAATAGATATTTTATATAAATAATACGAACTAATTATAACCAATTAATATAAACAATTAATAATAGTAAAAATTATATAAAAAAAAAATTGTTTGTGGTAAAACTGGCCATTTTTTCTTTTGTTTTCTTTTAAATAAATAACAAAAAATAACTTAGAAAACAGATAAAATTTAATAAAAAAAAAAAAAAAAAAAAAATTTGTTTAAAGTAATATAACAAGGTGGCAAGAAATATGTTTTAATAAATTATTAAGAGTAAGAACAGAATGAAATATAATAACAATTAAGGAATGAAATAAATTTAACTAAACAAATTTTATTTTAATGATTTCTTAAAAGCGGGGGAATGTTTGGTTTTAATTACAAAACAAAATTTCAAATCATTTTATGAAATCAAAATATCAAAAAAAAAAAAGAAATAATAAATAATAATAATAAATAAATAAATTAAAAAAAAAAAAAAAATAAGAAAAAAAATTAAAAACAACAACAATACATTTTTGAAATTTTTAAAAAATTTTGAAAATTGTTTTTTTTTTTAATTTTTTTTAATTTTTTTTTTTTTTTTTTTTTTTTTCTTTCTTTCTTTCATTTCATTAGTTTGAGCCCTAGGGAGGATTATTTATTGGTATACATTGGAGAGAGGAATCATGTTTTTCTAAATTTAACTTTTATTAATTTAATTATTAAAAAATTAAAATAAATAACTTAATAAGAATATAATGTTAAAAATAAAATCTTTAAATATTTTGCTTTTAAAAAAATGAAATAAACTATAATTAAATTTAAAAAAAAAAATTTAACTTATAAATTCTACAAATGCTTTAGTAATTCTTTTTAATAAATTTTTTGTGCTTTTAATACTCTAAAGTAAAATTTATAAAAAAGTGAAACGAAATAAAAACTCGTACCCCCTTTTTTTGTGGGTTTGCGGCAATAGAAACTTAAAACATAAGTGATAATTATGAAATTTTTAATAATAATAATAATAATAATAATAATAATAATAATAATAATAATTGAAAGAGAGATAATTCTTTATGCTTCTATGTAGAAATTAAAACTGTTTTAGTGTACGTGTTTAAGCTTAGAGACTCAGTCTTGCTAGAGAGATTATCAAAATTAGGTTGTTGCCTTTACTACTTCGTATGCAGAATCTTAACTAACTAAACTATCCTACGTAACTAGTTTGTTGTAAGTAGGGGTTGTGGCGGGGCGGGTTAAACTGGTGTTAAATTTAATTTTCTTTAGGTCATGTTCATTCATTCAATATCTTTTCGAATACCAAGAGTGTAAACTCTCTTTAAAACGAGAGTTCAGCGTGTAAGGCCACCAGGTGAGTGGCACCGAGAACTAGGCACTCTCTGTTTTCACTACTATTGGCAATGGGCCAGCTATGGTATTATTTAAAGGGGAAGTTCGCGTGTAGTCGTCGGTTTTCAGCAGTAGCGGTATGTTCATTTTCATATCGGCCAAAAGAGGTAAAGCCGAACGATTGCCATCTGTCATGGATCCTGATGAGTTGTTGCCGCCGTTACCTGCCTGGGCTTTTTGCTGTTGAGCTTCGTAACGTGTATGTGTACGCATATGACGTGTGATCATATCACGCCTACACGCTGCATACGGACATTGCGGACATTTATATGGCTTTTCTCCAGTGTGTGTTCGCTGATGCGTAGATAAATGATCAGATCGAGAGAATACTTGACCGCAAACTTTGCACGTGTAAGGTTTGACGCCGGTGTGCAGTCGCATGTGACGTGTTAGCATATCAGAACGAGCAAACGAGCGATTGCACACCTCGCATGAATAGGCTTTGGCTATGTCATTGGAGGGGTTGCGTGACTTGTGCCGTGACGCCATGTGTTTGGCTAAACGGTCGTGTAGCGAAAACATTTGCCCACACACGGGACAAACATATGCAACGTCAGAGCCGGGTGGCATTTCTTCAACCACTGGTGATACATCAAGATTATACCGCCAGGCTACCGATTCTTTGGTAGTGGGGGAAGCTACGTCACCTTTAATTACCGGTACACCTACAGTCGTAGTAGCAGCGTGTGGATGCAGTGGATGCATAGGCATTTCAAGTTTAATCATAGCCGCCGCTGCCGCAGCAGCAGCAGCGGCATGAGCTGCAGCTGCGGCCGCTGCCGCAGCCGTATGCGTTGTCATCCCATAAGGTGAAACTGTTGCTGCGTTACTTGCCGTGTTCGTTGTGAAATTATTGCTGGTTGTTATGCTTCCGGTAGCCCCGCTATTGCTGCAAGGTGACATAGCTGCTGACGACATGGGCTGTTGGCTGGGTGGTAGCATCATAGTTGTAGCTGGCAAGGGTGATGGGGATTTGTACTTTTTTGTTAACAATTCACCAGTAGGCGTATTGCTGCCACTGCGCACTGAGAGATCTAATGGTCTTTCTTGCGGAGGGGGCATGATGGCCGGATCAATGCCGCTGGCTGTTGCAGGAGATGATCTCTGTCCCAAGCCACCGCTCGCTGATGTTTCACTGCGTGGCGGCGAAGGTAAGGTCACGGACATCGATGGAGGAGGAGGAGGAGAGCTGTGTGCCTTTGTTGCCACCAGACTTGTACGAGTAAACTCCATGGCTTTCATGTGCTCTTTTCCTTGATCCTCGTCTTGTTCCTGTTTTAATTGCTCGAAATGTTGCTGTTGATGTTCTCTACTTGATGGTGAAATTTCCTCCAATTGCGAAGACGCTATCGATGAAGGAGTATGTTGCATGGGCGATGGATAGAGATCTTGGCGACGACGAAACACTTCATTTAGATACTTGGTATGCAAGTAATAACCAAATAATGGTGACGGTATGGGAAAATAACGATCGTAAGGACTACTACTGCTACTGCTTAAGTGGGGTTCAGTCTTAATATCCACAGACAAAAGGTTGGTATCTTCCGATTTTATAAGCTTTACATCGGCAGCAGTCGTTTCGCTAACATTTATAGGACTAATAGGCAAGCGAGTTGGACTGCCGTCATTATCCCCAATAGACATATTTTCTGTTGAATCTGCCTCATCTCCACTACAGCTTACCCGTTTATGTTCATCTTCTTCATTACAATTGTTATTCGCTTCTTTTTTGATAACCCTTTCGCCACCACCGCCACCACCGCCACCATCGCCATCGTCGCCATCGTCATCTACTTCCATGTTTAAATGATTGGAATTCAAACTGTTGTTATTATTGTTGTTGTGTAATTTATCTAAAACAGCCGATAAACGTTTACGTTTACGCTGCTTCCAAGGTAAAGGAGAGTTATTGTTATTGTTAATAGTTTTGTTGTTGTTGCTATTACTATTGTGATCATTTAAATTTTCATTACTATGCGTACTACTACTGCTATTATTCGGTTCATGGTTTTGAGCGGCTACTGCAGCGGCCGCAGCGGCTGCAGCTGCTGCTTGCTGTTGCAAACTCAAGGCCAATGGCAAATTATGCGGCAAGCCATATGGCATATGACTATAAGGTGCGTAATGATGACCGGAGACGTGCGGAGGCAAATGTTGCTGTTGTTGTTCATTGTGCTGCTGGTGTTGCGGTTGCTGATAGTGGTGGTGCTGTTGATGGTGTTGATGGTGGTGATGGTGGTGATGGGATGCTGCATGATGCCCCATGGGGTCGGTACCTTCTGCCATAGTCATTAGGTCAAAATTTATGAGAAAGTTTTGTTTTCTAGAGTTAATAAAGTAATTTTTATGTCTGTTACGCACTGAGCGCCGTCTAAGTAATCAGTAGCTCGCTGATTGTCGCGAGTATTACTTAAAGAAAAACACAGCCGACTTCCTTTCCTCTTCTTCTTCGTCTTCCTTAAAATAAGCTTCTTTCTTAGTTCGTGATCGAGCAAATTCTAAAAAGAAAATTGAAGAAAAGAGAAACAACGAGAAAATTAAAACAATAAATAAACAAAAGGAAATTAATAATTACGAGGAAATATAAAAATGTTGATATAATATAATAATGATATAATAAATAGACTTTGAAAACTAATACATTATATATCAAATTTTAATTTAATGCTTAATTTTTCACTTTGACTGTTCTTTGTTTTTTGTTTTTGTTTTGCTTGTAAATTTATGTGCACGTTATGCTATCATAAACCTTATCACACAGTGACAATAATTTCTGATGGCTTTTTTTCCCCAAATTGTTTGGAATCTTTTTTGGCAACAATCGACAATATTGGCCTAATGGAGATTGGGTATGGCATGGTAGAGTGGTACGGCCAAAGTGACCAGACCATTTCAGTGATATTGCTGTAATTTGTTTTCTCTAACGTACCCTTAAGGGTGTACATTTCCTGTCTGCCGTTTAGTTTATGTCATGTCCATAAATTGAACTTAAATCTTTGAAATAGAACAAGACTTTTACGCTGCGTTGATTTTTTACTGATTTTCATTCCCATGTATTTTATTTTTCCGCAAATGAAAGTTTTATGATGCGAAAATTTATTGTTCTCTCTCACTCATATACATATTTTAGGAATAAATTTCAAATAGTTTTATACATATACATATATATATGTATACATGTATAAAAGAGTGCACGGAATGAATGCCATATAATCATATGATATTTACGGCGACCAATGGATGACCATCAAATAAGTAAACTTAAATTTATTCTTAAATTTTTATAATCTAATCCTATTGCAGGGGGAAAGAAAATTAAGAGCAATCTTCTGCTTATACTTAATTATTTACTTGAACTCTTGCCATATCTTAAAGAAGTTTTCTCTTATGCATTATTATTTTTGTAAATCTGGAAAATGAAGGCGTTTTTTTTTTTTTTTTTTTTTTTTTTTTTTTTTAATCTAAAAATTTTGGTTTTTTTTTTTTTTTTTTTTTTTTTTTTTTGTTGATGGCCTTCAACTATGGGTATATACCTTGGCTTTGGTAGAAAAATGTGAAAAAATTTATCGTTCTAAGGCAACGGGCTGTTCAAAGGGCTTTTTAATCTTCTTGTGCTTTCTTTGAGGTTAAATCGAAAGATTTGATATATATACATATATATTTTTATTTTTATTTTTTTTTTGTAAGATTTCAAAGCCTTACAGTGTTCGCTCCAACAGCCGTTGCAAGTTCTTTTATTAAAATTTATGTTGGATCGTCTTATTGATCGTTATACAAAGTAAATAAAACGAGCGTGCTACTGAAATAAGTCCCAGAAATGAAAGCGATGAAGAGAATGAAGGGCTTACCCCCTCCCCCGATGTGCTCAGGACAAAATGGAATTGCTTCTGCCATCCAAATTATACCATATTTATATATACATAATATTGTCATGGAAGGAAAACTAATCTCGGAGTAAGAGAACTACGAAGATGGCAATTGATCTTCTTGTCCCCATTATGTAATAAAAAATTTTTGATTGTTATTTTTAAATGTGTTTCGCAACTTTATAGCCAACGCAACGTAAAGCCATCAGTTTATTTATAGAACATATATAATAGGACAACTTGAATGTTCATTATGATTAACAAGGGATAACGCTTTTGAGTTTGAAAAGAATTGAGAAAGATTAAGGGGAACTTAATTTAATCGCTAACCTGCAAATGCTACTACGTATGGCCTTTATTTATTTTAAATGCATTTTTTTACACTTCTTCGATTGGATTCGCATAATTAGATTGTGGACGGTGCAGGTTTATTTACAATTCCGACGGAGACTTTTAGCCAAAAGCAGAGTTTTAACATTTCACAGTACTTTACTCTTTCGAGAGCTCACACACACTCGATCGATTCCTCTCCTCGGATGATATGATTCAAATCGGTTTGCTTTAAGTAAAGGTGCCTTTCGAAACAAATCATGAACACCCACTCTTCATTTTGATATTTTTTGTAAAACCAATTCATTTCTTTTATTTCACTGGAAATTATCCTTCATCATTTTTTACTTCAACGGGATGGACAGTGGATGGACAGTTTTCATGCAGATATACTTTATCATTTTATATATGTGATTTTCTTAGTGACGTAATACAATCGTCATTGTAAGTCTCTTTTAGGTAATGAAAAAAAACTTTATAAACTCTTTGACCCTCCCTCTCCACAATATGGCTGATAAAATATTTGCAAGTGCTTTGCTGGAAAGGAGAGTGTAATCGTCATCTGTAAACACCTACACTACGTTTTTAACTGCCATACACAATTGCTAAGAACAACAAAAACGCAACACACTTCAAAATATGAATATAAATGCAAACATTACACTGCCTGAATAACAGTACGAGAAAGAGGAATAAGAAGACAGTTTGCCATGATAGAAAGAAAAAAAAAAAAAAAAAAAAAAAAAAACAAAAAAGAAGGCGACAAAAATTTACAACCAATAATCGCTAAGGTGGGGGAGTAAGAGTACGTAAAGTGTTGCATATACACCTAAATAGGCAGCAAGAAAACAAACCCATCAACAATATGCATATAGCTGCTTATATCTGTAAGAAAGCAAACCAAACCCATCCGCATACAAGGCGGAGTACGTAAATAAGCGTTTAAGTACGCGTTCATAAAATGGTTGAAAGGTATAAAAAAAAACAAAAAAATAAAAAATAAAAAATAAAAAAATAAAGAAGTAAAAATAAATGAATAAATAAATAAATAAATAAAATGAAAACACACAATAAACTAGATCGCAATTATATGTTGGTTAAGTGAAGTGTGCGTAAAACCATTCTATTTGTGGTAATAGCAGCAATATTTTTACTAACCGTAGGATAAATTCAGCTTTTTTTAATGCCTCTCATATGGCATATTATAGGAAGCTTGGCGAGTATTTCTCTCTTCGCATTTGCTGAATATATTCAGATTTACCTAATAGAATGTTAGAAAGAGTCGTAGAAACGACAACTTTTTCGAATGATATCAAATTTTCGATCGAAGAGCTACGAACCGTGCAAAGGAGAAATTTTCTCAGAAATTATTAAACTGAATTGATCGACGTTGCCGATCATCCCCATATTGCAGTTTAATGGGAGAAATAATTTCGTTTCGTTTCTAATCATCAAACGTAAACATTGGGGATTAATTCTTGATTAATTGGCGTCAACTTTGTGTCTTTGTTGTTTATGAACAGACCAGTAAGTAACCTTGAGAGTGCTTAGAGAGACAGAAAATTAAAGGAATTTTTTAACAGATGGCACCACCTATGTTGAGAGTACATTAAGCTTATGCGAATGTACGCAATACCGAGAAAGACTTGAGGCCGGCATTAGCTCGAAACAGTTCTTTAACTTTGCCGCTTTTTCCTTTGGCAAAGGCAAACTGGCTTCTCAATCAGCGTTCCTCACTGTATGATGATTCTCTTAAGCTACGGCTGAGTCATGTGCACGTTCCTTCTATAGGAAGAAGCGACTATTTGCTTCCGAGCGTTTTGAACTTTGCCTTTTTATTCGATCACATGGTTCACATTCACACATGCAACTCGAAGCCTTCTTACATATGACGATGTTATAAAAGATTTTTGAAGCATTAGATTTGCCTTCTTTTAGAAGATTCTTGTTACTTGTTACTCTTGGACTGACAAATTATGCGACTGTCACAGTGATATCAATGAACTCAGTAATGCCACTGATATTTCACAAGGGCTGAAGGTTTCGATTTCGCGCAAGACAGTCTCGCTTCTGATATAAGCACGGCTATATCCGTGTAACCGAGAAGGAATTCATCTACGTAGAATAACTGCATGCGGCTTTGCTAAGAGTTTTACTCAAAGATGTCTGCTTTCGGAAGACTAGGAACAGCCTTTCAGAGAGTTAGCCTATTGTGGCATTCCGGAGACACTGTGGCCTCTAGTTATCGCTTCTTATTTACCCGTCATGTGTCATCGGTCATACTAAAGCGAGACATTACGCAGTTGACAAAGAGTGCTTTTGCCTTTGTATAGAAGGCAAGTGCATATCAGTTTTATCATTCATTAGACAATTTTGACGACATTGACGGCTTGATCTTCACGCTGTTGATGAAAATCATTACGCGAAAATATTTACAATCAAATCCGAATAATTCGGCCTGACCTGCGACGTATACTGCTTCTGTTACTCTAATTACGGATGGTGTCATGGAAAAGTTGGATCTTCAAAGATAACTTGGCAGAAAAGCTAAAGAGAAAATTACAGAAATAAATCTACAATACCATCATCAGCAGTACTCTTTTATTAATCCTCAATTAACTCCACCTTTATATCCAACCAATGTTGAGAAAATCAAGATCCAAACATTTTCGCAAATTCGTCTTAGCCATGCAATTGCAACTCACTAATGGATCTTAAAGAAGTCTTCCTCCCATCTCACGTTTAAACTTATTATGTCCTGATACAATCAATACGAGAATTGCTATAGTCAAGTACGTATCGAAAGCGTCTTGTCTGTGTAGAAGACAAGCGACCTTCTCCAATTTTTTGCTTCTCGTCATTATTAATTAGCGACTGTTGGCTGTTAGCAGTCAGAGAGATTCTTCCCCGTTATGATTTATTTACTTGTCATATTTCTTTGCATTTTTGGCGCCTATAGATTAATTATTTTTTGTTTTTAATAATTGAAATTTTTTTCTAATTACTTGTTACTTTGTTTGCATGTAATGTTTAGTGGAAATAACCTCTTTGACTTATAACTTCAATACTTTTGTAATTTCTGTACTGTGTACTATTGTCCGTCGATTCAGGCGCTCGTTCAGTCATTCATTCATTATTGAGTAAATGATTTCAACCTGTTTTGATTCATTTATAATTTATGCTCATATTTAATTGTTTAACTCACTGTAATTAACAATTATTTGTTTATATGCATCTAAATATTATGCAATCATAAATGTGCAGGTAATTTATATAATTTGGTTATTTTGTTTTTTTTTGTT